CCCGATATTCTCCACGCCGACGGCGCCGACGTCGCCAGTGCATCGCCAATGCATCGCCGATACTTCGGCGACACATCGGCGATGCGGCGTGATCCTCCGACCCCATCTAGTCCGACCCCATCTAGGATGCTTCTATTGACATGACCGTATCCCGTGGTCCCGACTGCACACCGTGAACAAAAACACCTCTGGGGCCCGTCTCCTCGCCGAGGGCCCTAATGGCCTCGTGTGCGGCGAGGAGCGTGCCTGGGGGACCCCTGCGAGGAACGTGCCGCCATCGAGAGGGTCGTTGCTTCCAAGAGGGGGCCCTGGGGGATGGGGTTCCTGGGGACGGGGTGCCTCGAGCAGCGTAAAAATCCACCCCTGGATACTGGGCCTCCTCGATGGGGTCCGAGTAGATGGGCTCGGAGGATCGCGCCGCATCGTCGACGCATCGGCGCTGCGGCTCGATGTGGAGGCCGATGCTCTCCACGCCGACGTCGCCGACGCATCGCCGATGTCGACGTCGCATCGCCGAGGCACCGCCGCTGCCTCGGCGCCGCAGAGCGGCGATGCGGCGCGGCCCTGCGACCCCGTGTCCACTCGGGCCCCATCTAGTCGGGGACCCCATCGAGGAGCTATAGGCCTCCTAGGGATCCCCCTCGGAGATCCGGGTCGGTGCCCGGTGGCCGGCCTCGGAGCCGCCCGCCGGCGCCGCGGAGCCCTGCGGGGGCCCGTGGCCCTGGGGCCCGCCGCCCGTGGCGCCTCGGAGCCGCCCGCCGGCGCCCGCGGCAGGCCCGCCGCGGGCGCCGAGGCGCCGGCACCGGCCGCGCCGCGGGCGCCGGGGGCGCGGCGCGGGGCGGAGGGGCAGCGGCACGCGGGGGCGCTGGCGGAGCGGCTGCGGGCGCAGGCCGCGGGCGGCGCTCCCCCGGGAGGGCTCGGCGTCGCACCGTCTTTTGCCGCGCCCTGCGTCGGGGGCCCCGGGGCCCTCCACGGGGCGACGAGTGGCCCGAAGAGTGGTGGGGCACGAGGAGGGGGGTCCAGGGCTCTGGTCGTGATGTGTTCTCGCGAGGTGGCGTTTTCGTTTGTGCCGCGTGAGATCTGAGGGTTAGTTAGGGGGGGTGGGGTCAAGGGGGGGGACGGTTCGAGGATTGAGGGAGGGAGGAAGGAAGGGAGGAAGGAAGGAAGGGAGGAATGAGGGAGGAGGAGGGAGAGGATGTTATGATGATGATGATGCTGTTGATGATGATGATGCTGCTGATGATGATGATGATGCTGCTGCTGCTGCTGCTGCTGATGATGATGATGATGATGATGATGATGATGATGATGATGATGATGATGATGATGATGATGATGATGATGATGATGATGATGATGATGATGATGATGATGATGATGATGATGATGATGATGATGATGATGATGATGATGATGATGATGTGATGTTGATGTTGATGTGATGTTGATGTGATTGATATGATTGCTGATGCTGTGATGCTGATGCTTGTGTATAACGAGATACTGCTGCTGATGCTGATGTGATGGATTGATGGTGATGTGGTGATGATGATGATGATGATGATGATGATGATGATGATGATGCTGATGATGATGATGATGATGATGATGATGATGATGGATATGATGATGATGATGATGCTGATGCTGCTGCTGCTGCTGATGATGATGAGGAGGAGGAGGAGGAGGGAGGTTGAGGAGGAGGGAGGAGGAGGAGGAGGACGGAGGAGGAGGAGGAGGAGGCGGAGGAGGAGCAGTAGAGTAGGAGGAGGGAGGGAGGAGGAGGAGGAGGGGAGGAGGAGGAGGAGGAGGAGGAGGAGGTGGAGGAGGAGGAGGAGGAGGCGGAGGAGAGGAGGAGGAGGAGGAGGGAGGAGGAGGGAGGCGGAGGGGAGGAGGAGGAGGAGGCGGAGGAGAGGAGAGGGAGGGAGGCGGCCAGGAGGAGGAGGAGGAGGAGGAGGAGGGGAGGAGGGAGGAGGAGGAGGAGGAGGAGGAGGAGGAGGAGGGAGGAGGAGGAGAGGAGGAGGAGGAGGAGGAGGAGGAGGAGGAGGAGGAGGAGGAGGAGGAAGGAGGAGGGAGGGAGGAGGAGGAGGAGGAGGAGGGGAGGAGGAGGAAGGAGGAGGAGGAGGAGGAGGAGGAGGAGGAGGAGGAGGAGGAGGAGGGGGCAGTGAAAGGGAGGGTATGACTCAGAGGGGGAGCGTTTCGGTTCAAGCCGTGCTGTCTCAAGCCGTGCTGGAATGAGCCACGGGCGCGACGGCACCTCGCTCACGTGGGGTGCGTTCGGCGCTCGGGGATGGCTGCATGGGGCGGTGGCCTACTCGAGCCAGTGTTGGTAGACGCCGAGAGTGGGGTGCTTAGCGCGCTCGTGCTGGGGCCGCCATGAGCCTCGTCACCGAGGCCGAGCGTTTCGCTCGAGCGGAGCGGAGCGCTCTTGGGCGAGAAGCTCCCTCAACTTCGCAGCTGCTGGACTACGACGAGGACGATGCGGAACGTGCGAGCTCGCCCTGGACCTCGAGGGCGAGGGCTGTGCTAACGCCCAGAGGGCAGACGGCTGTGCCGACGCCAAGGACGAAGCCAACGCGCACGACGGAGAGGTCCATGACGCCGGAGAAGATGCCGACGTCCATCGAGGAGGAGCCGATGCCCAGGGAGGTGGAGCAGGCGCGGCGACTTCGTCGTCAGATCGCGGTGACGGGGCTGCTGCTGGCGGAGGAACAGGCGCGTGCGCGGCTGCGCTTGGCGCGCAAGCACTCGCCACTGCCACTCTAGCCGCATCCGCTCGAGCTCCTGGCCTCCGCCCAGCTGGCTACCAAGATCGACGCCATCAAGAAGGAGCTGACGCTGGCCAGGGCGGCGCAGGCTATCTGGGCGAAGTGGCCGATGACAGCGATGGCGCTAATAGTGGCCCAGGGAAGCCAATCCGAGGGAGGCCCCGACGGAGGCCCAGCCGACGGAGCAGCAGCCGCCGCCAAGGCAGCCGTTGCCTGCGACGACACCTCCAGTGGCCTTCGAGGCGGCGCGGATGCCCAGCCCTCCCCGCTGCTCTTCGCGGCGGGCGTGGACCTCCTCCTACAACCCTCGTCAAAAATAAGCTGAAGGATTCTGTTTTCGGTGATTGTATGGTCAGCGCTACTCCAATGCTGACGCTAGATATCTGACGCGGACGCAAGGGCTTCAAACATCCGACGACCCCTCCGCAGCATTGAAGAACGCAGTTTCTATCAAGTGCCCGAGAAGATCGATCGTCGTGATTTCCAACTGCGTTTCTGTTTATTTATGACGAGGCTTGTAGGTGGGCGCTCTCTCAGCTCCTTGGAGGTCCTCTCGGGCCCGCTGCGCCCTTGCGAGCCGCCCTCGCTGGAGGTCCCGACGGCACCGCAGGCCCCGCCCGCCCCCCGAGGGGGGACGCCGCAGAGCCCGCCGCCCAGCGAGTAGGGTGGCGCCGGGCTCGCCCCCGATGGGCCTGATTTCGGGGCACGGCTGGAGCCCTGGCATCGCTCGGACGTGTGCGCTTTTTCTCGGCGAGGGCCATCGAGGAGCATCCGTGATCATTTGGCGAAGAAAGCCACGCGCGAAGCCGAAACAAAACACACAAGGAATGGGCGTCCGAGCGATGGCCAGGAGCGCACGGAAGCGCTCCTCCAGGAGCGCGGGGTGGCGCTCTCTCGGGGCGAACGCCGCCCCCCGGGCACCTGGACAATGTTTGGCTTTCTCTTGGAGGGGCGTGCACCATATTGGCCTGGAGGAGGCGGGCTTCCACCTCCTCGGGAGCCCGCTCGCGGCGGAGTCCGACTTCCTCTCGCCAGCTTCTGAGACTGCGGACTTGTGGCTGGCGTGGCAGACGGGCGCCATCCTGCCCGTCGGCTCCATGATCCTGCCCGCCATCTCCATGATTGCGCGTGTTGGTAATGGGCTTGGCGCTCGCCGGAACGTGCCCGCGCAAGCTGGGGCGCTGGTGCACGACGCCCTGGCCGACGCCACTCCTGGCGCCCAACCCGACGCCCTACCCGACGCCCCCCACCCGACGCCCCACGACCTTCCCGATTCCCAGACGCCCCTACACCTCCTCACGACGCCCTACCCGGCGCCCCTCCCGGCGCCTGGCCCGAGGCCCGACCCGAGGCCCCACCCGACGCCCCACGACCTTCGCAACCCTTACCCGACGCCCCACCCGACGCCCCACGACCTTCCCAGCCCGTCGATGCTCCACCACCTCCCCACGACGCCCTCGACCCTCTACCACCTCCCCACGACGCCCCACTCGACGCCCCACTGGGCGCCCTACCCGACGCCCTAACCCGACGCTCTACCCGATGTCCCACGACTTTCCCAGCCCCACAAGAGCCAGGGCGAGGACCCCGGCAAAGGTAGTGCGAGCACAGGGACGCCGATTGCTTCGCGCTGCTCTGAGCTTCTAGCAAAAGTTCCAGTTCTCGCTGGCATTCCTTCGGCGGCCACGGTGGCCAGGACAGCAGCACGCCCCGACGTGCTGGCGGAGGTTCGGGCGCTCTCCATGCACTGCCTGGACGTGCAGAAGATATGCTGGTCTCTTATGGCCCTTGGCCCATCCCGCCACCTGGGTTTTGGGTATGACGCCTATCGGATGTTCGTTGGGATCTTGTGGGAGGCCTCTCGGGGGCCTCGTGGAGGCAGTTTGGAGGCCTCTTGGGGGCCGTGTCGGGGCCTCTTAGGGCCTCTTGGAGGCCTCTCGGGGGCCTCTTGGGGGCTTCTTGGGGCGGGAAGCTAGGATTTTCGGTTCGTGTTCGCTTTCTTGGGCCCCTTTCGGAGCCGTCTTGGGGCCCTCTTGGGCCGTCTTGGGTGCGTCTTGGGCCGTCTTGGAGCGTCGGACAGCCGAAAACAAGAACGCCGAAAACAAAAACAGAACAAGCGTCGGAAAGCCAAGAACAATTCACAGAGTTTGGCCTGTTGGGGCCCTCTTGGGAGGCCTCTTGGAGGCCTCTTGCGGCGTCTTGGAGGCTTTCTGGGCCATCTTGAGGCCGTCGATCTTTCGGCGACTCTGGGCCCTCTTGGACCCGCTTGGGGGCTTCTTGGGCCCAGGAAAGTTATGCGACAAGCCGCGGGGGAGCCCGGAATGCACGCGGCAAGCCCTTCTAAATTTGAGAACTTTGGATCTGGGTCCCTTGAAGACGACTGAGGCTCCAGGAACTAGGCTAAGGACCTGAGGACACGCCCACTCCGTGCCCCAGAGGCACGGTGACGGACCTGGTGGACCAGGCGGCGGGTATGCATCTCCTGAGAGCTCGAGCTGGGGATTGGTCTCTACTGGCGAAGCCGCTGGCCTGCCGGCAGGCCGCCCAGACCATCCAGAGACGCGCAGATGTCGCAGGCTTCCCGCTGGCCGGCGCCCCCGCCCGACCCTCGTGCCCTCCCAGGCGCGCGGCAGCAGCAGCGGGAGTGGCTTGCCGCTGTCTGCAGTACTCCTCGGTGTGCATCGGCGCGGTGTTGTGGGCTGGGGCCGCCAGGAGCACGACCGCTCATCTGAGGAGGAGTCGCCTGCCCTCGGCCGCTTCGATCGCATCGGCACCGTGTGCGCCGACTTCCGCTGCTGCATCGAGTCTCTCTTTCCACACGGTTGCAGCCTCCTTATCTCGATTTGGATTCCGGCACCTGCGATGTGTCCTCGAGCTGCGATTCTGAGGGATTTTAGGGCCGCCTTCATTTTACATTCTGAGGGATTTTATGGAGTTGAGGGTCATTAGGGTTTCCAACTTAGGAGAATTTCTGAGCACGGTCATTCGGGATTTTAGGAGCATTCGGGTGATTAGGGTTATTTTAGGGTTATTCGGGATTTTAGGGGCATTTCTGAGGGATTTAGAGCCGCGATTCTGAGGGATTTTAGGGTTATTGTATCATTCCTGTGGTTGTTAGTTCGCACCGCCCTCTTCCCCCCCCTCGTGTCGTGCGTTCTTCGTCCACACGTCGCTGGCCCCCTTTAGCCGCCGCGCCCGCCGAGCGCCGTGGCGCGCGCTGCATGGCGTAGCCCCTTTTTCGCGCCTGTGCACCCACCATTCCTCGTAGCCTGTGCCTGTTGATCGTGTCTTCCTGCTGTTTTCTTTTGTTCTGCGCTTTCTCGGAGGGCACCAGCTATACACCAACACCGATCCTGGCCCAGGATCACCCTGGGCCCAGGATCGGTGTATATGCCTTCTTGCGCAAGGCAGGAGGGCGTATACACCGATCCTGGACCCAGGGTGATCCTGGCCAGGATCGGTGTTGGTGTATAGCTGGTGCCTTCCTACTTTCGCCGAGCCTGGCACAGTGCCGTTCTGGCCGTGACGATGTCTGTACAGCCTGGTCGATGCGCATTGGGTCGTGCGCGGGTGGGCCCGATGGCTGCGCAAGGAGCTGGTGGAGATTCGGGAGGGGGGGGCGGGAAGAGGAAAGCAAGGGGGAGCGTTTCGTGCTTGAGGCTCGATGCCTTCAGGCGTTTTCGCCAGTTGTCGTGGGTCTTCCAGCCTCGGGGTGCTCTCCAGCAGCTGCGCCTCGCCGGGAGCGTTCCAGGGGGTCCAGGTTGTCCCGGACGGCCGGCGGAGCGCCGAGGTATGACCCGAACGCCAGTGGGCAACGTTAGGGGTGGTGGGCTCAGGGGGGATGAGGCATCCCCCCTGAGGAGGTTGAGGAGGAGCAGGAGGAAGAGAGGAGGAGGAGGAGGAGGAGGAGGAGGGAAGAGGAGGAGGAGGAGAGGAGGAGGAGGAGGAGGAGGAGGAGGGGGGAGGAGGAGGAGGAAGGAGGCGGAGGAGGAAGGAGGAGGAGGATGAGGAGGAGGAGGAGGAGGAGGAGGAGGAGGAGGAGGAGGAGGAGGAGGAGGAGGAGGAGGAGGAGCCGCACATTGATAGCCGATGCGGGCCCGATAGCCCGCCCCGCCCCACTACGTGCGCTTTCGCTATCGGTCGGGCGTGTCGCCGATCTGTGGGCGACGCGTCCCCGGTTCCAGCTCGGCGCTCCCCCGCCGGAGCCGCTCTCCTCCTTCCGCTCGGGAGCTTTCGGATAGCGTGTCGTTCCGCTGGTTCTGCCCCAGCACGCCTCGGCGCGACACGCCATACCTTCCTGGGCCCCGCTGCGTCAGCGTCCCGAGCCTTCCCCGGCCTCCTGCTCGCGGAGCGGAGCGGCCAGCCACCCGCTCGCAAGGCACAGCGTGTCGCCGGGGCCGCCGCGGCGACACAGTGAGCAGCAGCTTCCGATCGCAGCGCCCCCCCCCTGAGTCGGAGGGCGGAGAAGCGATGACAACACCACCAGGGGGCCCACCGCCAGCGAGGAGGTCCACGATGCCTCCCCTAGCTGGAGGCTGGGGATGTCTCGAGCGAGAGGGGGGGACCACACCACCAGGGAGTTCCCCCTGGCCTCCTCGCATCTCCTCGCCCTGCTGGTGGTGGTGCCGCCTTTCCTTGTTCCTGCTCAGCAGGCCCCGCTGCGCAGCGATGCCGTGCACCCGCCGCTGTCCGCGTGCGCGGGGCAGCTGAGCGAGCAGGTCCTGTGCCAGAAGGCGCGCATCTCCTCCTCCTCCTCCTTCCCCTCCTCCTCCTCCTCCTCCTCCTCCTCCTCCTCCTGCTCCTGCTCCTCCTCCTCCTCCTCCTCCTGCTCCTGCTCCTCCTCCTCCTCCTCCTCCTCCTCCTCCTCCTCCTGCTCCTCCTCCTCCTGTCCTGTGCCAGAAGGCGCGCATCGCAGAGCTGGAGCTGCAGGCGGCCGCCCGTGCCGAGGCCGCCTCGGAGGCCGCCCGGCCCGGCGGGGATGGCGGCGAGCCGAGCGAGGGCGAGTCCGAGGAGTCCGAGGATCGGGCCGGGCGAAAGGGGGGGATTGGGAAAGGGGGGGTTACGAAATTTGCTGCATGCAGCTGGTTTCGGCCTCACCGAGGGGCCCATTCCTCGATACATGGGCGCTTCCGGCGCCGGGAGGCGCCGGGAAAATCAGCTACGTGAGCTGATTCTCAACCCCCCCCTTTGCTATCCCCCCCTTTCGCCCGACCCGAGAGGAGGAAAGCCCGCAGGAGCAGCTGCAGCGCATCCTCTCGCAGGTCACTCCGTGCGCCGGCGCGTACCCCCTCGGCGTGGTGCAGTCGCAGATCCCGCAGCGGGTGGAGGCGTTTGGGGGGAATTGGGCCGACATCAAGGGCCTCCGGCTCGCCGTGCGGCCTGCAAGCGACGACGACTGCGTGCTGGTCGTGGCGAACTGCCTGGCCACGCCGGAGTGCGGGCGGGACGAGTCACGGTGGGCCGTGCAGCGGGGTGGCAGCGTCGCCTCGTCCACATTTGCTGTGTACAACAGGCAGGCCGAGTGCAGCCACTACATTCGGGGAAACGTAAGACTCGAGTGATCCAGAACTCGGGTTTCTGACGAGCGCGTCTTTGATTCTGACGGTTCTGTTTTCGTGAGATGCCTGCAGCGGGAGCCCGCGTCAAATTTCAGATTGGGTCTCGTCATTTTTATGATGGCCCCCGTCAGGCCAACTCGCGTCTCCCGTACCCGAGTCTTGCGTCTCCCCGATACATCTGCATGCCGTATGTAGACCAGCCAGGACGAGGCGAGCAAGAGTACCAGGTGTCGGCCAAGAACGGGTCCAACAAGACCCGAGTCTCTGTGAGTCCGCAGAGGCAGCGGCGACAGCTGCTGGCCATGACAGTTCCAGCCTACCAGGTTCAGGGAGCGAATCATACACACACACACACACCTCGTGCTTTTCCTTATCGCTCTTGGGGGAGGGGAGAGGAGGATGGACCTGAGAGGGGGGGGGAGTGCAGTGAAATCTGAATCGCGCGGGTGTTCCAGATGAACATCGTGTTTCGCTTTAGCTCAGAATTTCCTCAGCAGCATTCTGGGAAGCTGGCCCCAATTCTCATTTCCCCAGAACGTGCACGGGGCTGCACGTGTAAGACTGGATGCGGGCTTGCTGGTCTTGTGGACATGCTGGCGCAGGTTTTTCGGGATGGCGGTTTCTTGGCCTAGGTTGCGCTGGACATGTGCGTCCCACCCTCAGGTCTCGGTTGTGGAGGATGACGAGCGCCAGACGATACATCCTGGACTCTGGACTGACGTCCAGGACTTCTATGAGGTCGTCACCACGCTGCCGGGTGACAAGGTCACCCCTGGGGAATCGCAGTGGCTTCGCGATGCCTCGCACACCGCTCTGCCTCCTCTGCCTCCCGTGCCATCTTGTGCCCTTTTCTGGGAGCGGGGGGATGACTGAGATCTGCCTCGCGCCTCGAGCCCCTCCGCCCTATATGTCCATCCTCCTTCCTCCTGCCACGCCCCCCCCCCTCATCCCCCCAGGGACCCCTTGTCCTCATCCGTCCCGTCGTTCTCTGCTTTTTGATCCATCGGAATCGCTCCTTCTGCAAAAGGGGCTCCCGCTGAAGCGGTGGCCGTGACGCCGTGCCCCCGTCGTTCAGGATTGCACTCTTGCCCCAGCGCGCGCCACAGTCTCGCCCCCCTCTTTCCCCGCTCTTGTCATTGCCGCTCCCCTCTTTTCCCTCTTCCACCTTCCCCTGGTCCTCCTGCTCTTCCCGCTCCTCCTCCTCCTCCTCCTCCTCCTGCAACTGATCTTGCTGCTGCTGCTCCTCCTCCTCCTCCTCCTCCTTCCTCCTCCTCCTCCTCCCTCCTCCTCCTCCTCTTCTTCCTGCTGCTTACCCTCCTGCTCATCCGCCACCTCCTCCTCTAGTCGTGCACGGCTCTCCCGTCCGATTGTGCACCGACGGTGGAGTCGTTTCGGAGATCCAGGTCCGCTAGGGCACCAGCCCTCTTTCCACATCGACCGCCATTCTCGAGGTCTGGGAGCCTGGCTGGCGGCGTGACGCGTATGATACCACGTAGCGTGTTCAAACTTATGTTTTGGGGTTGGGTGGGGGTGGGGGTGGGCGGGCAGGGGTGCGGAGGGTAGGGAATGGCGAGGAGGGTAGGCGCTTGGGAGGGGGGGTATATGGCTCCTAACGTGCTCCACACGAAGAGAGCCACCTCGGCCGAAACGGTTTTTGTTCCACCGTCCCTGCTGGTGCGCGCACACGCGGAGTTCCAGAGTGCCGAAGCCCAAGGTCCTGGCCATCTGCACGATCGGGTACTCTGCCGGCTGGGCCAGCGAGATGAACCGTGGGAGGTCGCACGCGTTGCAGGGCAGGCTGTGGGTAGAGCTCCGAGTGCAGAAGGCAGAAGTAGAAGTTGCAGGAGTAAGTTCTATAGCATAAAGTGCAGCGTGATTTTAGCAGGGGTACATATATATATATATATGTATATATATAATGTACGATGCACCTCTATGTGTAGTTTGAGAGACGGGGAGAGAAGGAGCGAGAGAGAGAGAGAGAACGAGAGAGAGAAAGAGAGAGACGGAACGAACGAGAGAGAGGAGAGAGAGGATGAAGTAGAACGCGACATTGAGAGAGAGAGGGAGAGAGAGAGGGAGACAGAGAGAGAGAGAGAGACAGAAAGAGATAACTATGTACACAGGGAGAAAGAGAGAGAGAGAGATAGAGAGCGAGAGAGAGAGAAAGAGAGAGACGGAACGAACGAGAGAGAGGAGAGAGAGGATGACGTAGAAAGCGACATTGAGAGAGAGAGAGAGAGAGAGAGAGAGAGAGAGAGACAGAGAGAAAGAGAGAGAGGGAGACAGAGAGAGAGAGAGAGACACAGAGAGAGAGAGATAACTATGTACACACAAAAAGAGAGATAGAGAGAGAGAGAGAGAGACAGCCTGAGAGAGACAGAGAGAAAGAGAGACAGAGAGACAGAGAGAGAGAGAGAGAGAGAGCCAGAGAGAGACAGAGAGAGAGAGAGAGACCGAGATGTATGAAATTAGCGTTGGGCTGCACCTAGGAGCACTGCCCGTGATGTGCAGGTGGATCCTCCTTCATAGTGGCGGTTCGTGCTGGGAGCATCGATTATTTCAGTCCTGGAGAGAACGCTGGGGTAAGAAGGGGGGCACGGGTTGGCGGCGAACACATTGATTAATATCTTCAGTGGTAAAATGGAATGGTTGTGGTTCCGATGACGTCGGCTATGATGCCGACGACGACGATGACTACGACGACCACGACGAGGGTGCTAATGATGATGATGATGAGGAGGATGAGGAGGATGATGATGATGATGATGATGATGATGATGATGATGATGCTCATGATGATGATGCTGATGATGATGAGGAGGAGGAGGAGGTGGGTGAGGATGAGGATGATGATCAGGAAAGGATGAGGATGATGGACGGAAGGAGGTGGAGGAGGATCAACCGGATGAGAACGAGGAGGAGGAGGAGGACGTTGAGACTTACGACGAAGAGTAAGACAGTCAGGAGCGACAAGGGGTGATAGACAGGGGAAAAACGATGTAATCAGTGGCCAGGCTGAGGAAGGCAAGAGCAACAGACATAATGGAGGATGAGCGAAGCGAGGCGAGTCAACCAGGGCGGATTCGGCAGGTTCACACTTGTCCGCGACCAGCTGGGTCTTGATGGCCTGGAAGATCGAGGCTTGCAGGAGGGCGCCATACTTTCGCTTCGCAAGTCTCTCCAGTGGATGTAGAATCTGAGGAGATGGGGAGGACGGCGGGCGAGCATGGAGAGCTCTTCCCTTTATCCAGGCAAGGCTTGCTTAGAAGGGTTCTTTCCTTTTTGTTGATAGGGGCCCTTATCAAGGAGGGAGAAAGATCATGGAGGAAGAGGCCTTTTTCCAGGCCACTCGGACCATTCAGGAGTACCATGTCGGTCCCCTCTCGGGCAGAGCCCGAGCTGTACCCACATCAACCGCCTAGACAAGAACCCACCGTTCGCCCTTGGGAAGTCGCTTGTTCATTCCCCTGGAATTGGAACAAGAGACTGCGTCCGCTTCCTGAACCGTGTCTTCAACCCAGACCCTGGCAGGCGGATGAGATCGACATTGGTCTTTAGCGGGGTCCCACGGGTCCTCTTCAGGCCACCCGAGCCCGGACATCGAATTCGAGTAGAGTGCGCCTGGCTTTGACGAACGCATGCTCTTGGCAGTATTGGGCGCCTCTGAACGTTTCGGAGTCTTGCCAGCCCTCTTCAGGCCAGCCGAGCCGAAGGGGTTCACATTCGGGTTCATGTCACCCAGGCGCACGGCAAGGCAATGGCATGGTCTTATTGCAGTGTGGGGCACCTTCGTGCGCTTCTCGCGGCTTGCTGGTGTTGTCTTGGGCGACGTGGTGCTAGCACACACAACACAACACGACACGACACAATGCAACACAATACAACACAACACACCACGACACGGCACGGCACGACACGACGCGATCCTACACGACACACACAACCAACACAACGCAACAAAACACGACACGCCACGCCACGCCACGCCACGCCGCGCCGCGCCGCGCCACGACACAGCACAGCACAGCACAGCACAGCACAGCACAGCACAGCACAGCACAACACAGCACAGCACAGCACAGCACAGCACAGCACAGCAAAGCACTGCACAACTCGACACAGCACGCACACACCAGCAGGGGAGAGTGCAGCGTGGCGCCTCCTGGTGACTGGGGAGGGGGAAGGAAGGGACAAGGTTAGGGGGGGATCTGCCCAGGAGCCGCGTGGATTCGCTGTCGGGTGCCTGCCGCCCACATCTGTGGGCACCGCCGACTCCAGGTCGATGTCCCCCTCCCCGCCCTGAGCTGATCCCCCTCCTGCCGTCGCCGCTCCGGCGCGCCCGGAAAGAGTGTGGCCCCCCCCCCGCGCGATCCCCATCTCCAGGCCGACGCTGCACGTCGTCGCTCCGCCCCCCCCGCGACGGCTCGTGCGGTCGTGCTCTTCCGCGGGGGCCTGCCTCGAGACGCCGCCCCCCTCCTCGCGCGCGGTGCCGCCCCCCCCTCCAGCTCCCTTCCCACCCCTCCCCCCCCCCCTCCTCCTCCTCCTCCTCCTCCTCATCCTCCTCCCTCCCCCCTCCTCCTCCTCTCCTCCTCCTCCTCCTCCTCCTCCTCCTCCTCCTCCTCCTCCTCCTCCTCCTCCTCCTCCTCCTCCTCCTCTCCTTCTCGGCGAGAGGCCCCCCGGCGCGCGCGCCTGGAGGCTCCCGAGGCCCGAGGCCCGAGGCAGGACGCCCGTCGCACGCCCCCTGTGCTCCCTGCCGCCGCCCCCACGCCTGGCCGCCCCTCGCTGCGGCCGCCGCGGCGGCGGCCGCCGCTCACCGCGCGCTGGCCTCAGGGCGAGGGCCGGCGTCGCGCGCAGCGGGCGTCTCGGCAGGTGACGGGCCGGGACGCCGCTCCCCCCGCTCCTCCGCCCTCCTCCGCCCTCTCCTCCTCCTGCTTCTCCTCCTCCTTCTGCTCCTCCTCCCTCTCCTCCTCCTCCTCCTCCTCCTCCTCCTCCTCCTCCTCCTCCTCCCTCCTCCTCCCCCTCTCCTCCTCCTCCTCCTCCTCCTCGTCCTCCTCCTCCTCCTCCTCCGCCCTCCTCCGCCCTCCTCCTCCTCCTGCTCCTCGTCCTCCTGCTCCTCCTCCTCCTCCTGCTCCTCCTCCTCCACGTGCTTGCCTCGCCGCGAGGGCGGGGACTCCTCCTCCTCCTCCGATTCGTCCCCGCCCGATTCGTTTCGTTTCTAGCGGACGTCGTCCTTTCATGGTCACTTCTGGTCACTCCTCCTCCCCCCCCGCCGCGACGCTGCTCTGGGGGGCGCTGCTTCGGTCTGGGCGGTGCAGCGTTGCACGTCGTGCAGCCATTGGCCCCTCACCCCCCCTCGCGATTGGGGTTTGCGGGCCTGCTTCGCGCTCTCTCTTTTCACCGGGCTCGTGATGCGAACGGCACGCGCGCGAGCGGCAGGGGCATCGCCGACATGTGTTGATGTTTGCGGGTGGGGGGGAGTTGCGGGCCAGCGCCTGTGATTCCCTTGAGTTCGATATTTCTTCTGTTGTTGTTGTAGTTGTTGGTGTTGTTGGTGTTGTTGGTGTTGTTGTTGTTGTTGTTGTTGTTGCTGTTGTTGTTGTTGTTGTTGTTGTTGTTGTTGTTGTTGTTGTTGTTGTTGAATATTATTACTTCTAAAGAAATATTATTGTTGAGACCCCTGGTGCGCGACCCCCCTCCAAAACCTAGGCCGCAGCCTCATTTCCTTCATTTTCTAGCGAAAGCTTCAGAAAAGTGGATTGTCACCGGATCCGGTTGTTTTGTTGTAATCCGTTTTCCCTTGCAAAAAACACTATAAAATGAAAATTCTTGTTCTTACTTGATCAAATTGCAAGAATCCCTTGCAAAAAATAAGGTAAAGTGGACATTCGTGCGCGCAAGACGAAATCCTTCCAAAACCTTAGGTTTCGTAACGATTTTAACATAAAAACATCAAAAACCCAATGGTTTTTTAAGAAAAAATTGTCAAAATGTCTTCCGCGCGCTCTTGCGGATTCGTAGGAAAACCAACACTTTTTAAACAATTCTGTCAAACGGGCTTTTGCGAGCAACTTTTTCGAACTTCTGCGACAACGGTTGCGCACCTGCCAGGGCCATCATCCCTGTCAAATAATACCATGCGGGACACATTCGTTTTTTCTTCGCGCGCGCACGCCGAAATCTCCAAAAACCATTGGGTTTTTAAGAATTTTAGCACCGCGCATCATAAAATCACACGAATCGCACCGTAGGTCCTCGAAAAACACCTGCACGACTTTTCAAAATTTCCACCCGCGCGCGCTGTCCGAATCCTAAAAAAACCAATGGTTTTCCAACATTTATGTTACATGAGCTCGCGCGAGCTACTTTCGCACGCTCTTGCAAAGGGGTTCGCGCGCCTGCCAGGGGCCAGAATCCCTTGCGGTTGCGCCATATGTTGCGCCCTCGGCCGCCGAGAATAAAACGCCCCCCTATTGGTTGCGTCATAGGTTGCGCCCTCGGCCGCCGAGAATAAAACGTCCCCCTACTGGTTGCGCCATAGGTTGCCCCAGGAGGCCTTCAAGAGGCCCCAAATGCACGATGCGGGGCACATGCGGGGCCCAAACAAGTGATCAACCTCTGCGGGTGTGTACTCCACGCCAGTGTAGTATCCACGATCGTCCGCGCGCCACGAAGTGAAGTGTCCTGACGTCATAGGGCGGGAAGCTGGGTGTGGGTGGTTCCCGAGAGTCGTGTGGATGTTTGGTAGAGCTTGCATTGCCCCCCCACGAAGTGGGGGTATTGGCTGGCGTCGCATGAAAACCCTGGCACTGGGGAGAACACTGAGCGTTCGGGTAAAATGATTGTTGTTGTTGTTGTTGTTGTTGTTGTTGTTGTTGTTGTTGTTGTTGTTGTTGTTGTTGTTTCCTGATGGTGTTCGCCCCGCAGCCCCAGCCCAATCTTCCTCTTACCTTTCCTCCCGCTCCCTCTCCGCCCGCTCATTCTCTCTCCTGCGTCCTCGCCCCCTCCCCCCTCCCTCGCCTTGCCCTCCCTTCAACTCTCCTGCCCTCCCCCCTCCTTTCCTTCACTCCTCCCTTCCTCCTTTCCTCCTTCTGATCGATGTGTGTCCTGCCGTACTGCTTGCTCCAACCTCCTGACGTCTTATCTCCATCTCTCTCTCTCTCTCTTTCTCTCTCTCTCTCTCTCTCCTTTTTTTATTGTTTTTTGTTTTTCTTCTCTCTCTCTATATATATATGCCTCCAACTTCTGTCTCTCTTGCTCCTCCTCCCTCCTCGTCCGCCTCCGCCTCCTCGTCTTCTTCTTCTTCTCCCCCTGCTCCTCCTTCTTTTTCTCCATATCTCCGCCTTCGCGTCGTCCTCTCACGCCTCTCCCTGCTCTTGCTGCCACTTTTCCTCCCTCCTCCCCCTCCTCCGACTTGAGATCGCTCCGCCTCCTCCTCCTCTTGCTCCTCCTGCAGCTGCCATCTGATGGGAGGCCAAGGTCGCATGTAAAACCACCGCTCGCAGTCGGTGCGTGCGCTGGCGCCGAACAAGGCGGGGGGGGTCTACATCAGAGGAGGAGAAGGTATCCATACCGCTACCCTTGCCTCGTTTCCACCTTCTTGGGCCTCCCGGGAGGCCCCTGTCGCCACCGCTGGATGCGCCTGGAAATCCTGGTCAGAACGCACCCCGGGAGAGGTCCCTTGACGAAAGCAAAGAACTCTCAAGCTGTGATTGCACATTTTTTTTCTCTGCTTGGCCCGTGAACGTGTCGGATAATTCGAGGTTCGAGTCACTCGGTGTCTGCGGATGGCGCAACGTACATACAGGCATTGCACCCCTCCAGCAAATCACGCGGCAATTGATTCGCAATCATGCGCTGCATGGCTTGGTGACGATGCTTCAGACAAGAGTGATACATCAACTTCTCCAGGGTGCAGGGGGGATTGTGGATTGCGCTGCGGCTCAGGATTCTGAGGTGAATCCTGATGCTGATGAAGGTGGTGGTGGTGCTGCTGGTGATGATGACGGCGACGACGACGACGACGGCGACAGCGACAATGACGACGACGGCGACGACGACGATCATGATGATGATGCTGCCGCTGATGATGATGATGGTGATGACCACGATGATGATGGTGTCTGGTTGCGTTGGTGGTGGTGCTGCTGCTGATGATGATGATGGTAAGACTGCTGGCGACGACAAAGGGGATGATGATGATGGTGATGATGGTGATGATGATGATGATGATTCTTATGATGCTGCTGATGATGCTGATGCTGATGATGCTGATAACGAGGATGATGCTACTTGCTACTGGTACTGATGATGTTAGTAATCATGTTGATGATGATGAGTATGACAATTAGGATGATGACGATCATGATGATGGTGATGATGATGCTTATGATGATGCTGCTGATGATGCTGCTGCTGATGATACTGATGTCGATGATGAGGATGCTACTGATGCTGATGATGTTGTTTATGTTGATGATGTTGTTTATGCTGATGAGCACGAGGATGTTGATGATGGTGATGATGATGGTTATGATGTTGATTATCATGATGATATCTATGATGATGCTGCTTATTCTTATTAGGTTGATGATGCTGATGCTGATCATGATTATGCTGTTGATGGTGTTGATGGTTGTGGAGGTAGTATTTGTTGGTAGTGATGATAGTGATGCTGATGCAGCTGCTGCTGATTATAATGATGATGAGGATGATGATGATGACGATGATGATCATGATGATAATGATGATCATGATGACGACGACGACGATGATGATGATGCTGCTGCTGATGATGATCATGATGCTGACGATGACGATGATGACGATGATGCTGCTGCTGATGTTGATGATGATGACGATGATGATGATGATGATGACGATGATGATGATGATGATGATGATGATGATGATGATGAGGAGGAGGAGGAGGAGGAGGAGGAGGAGGAGGATGATGATGAGGATGATCGCGCCGCTTCTCGGAAAGGGCGGCCAGGGCTACCCCTCCGTGCATGCCCCTCGGGGCCATGACACTCCGAACCCCCAGGCCGACGCAGAAGGTCCCGCCCCCTTTGGTGGCAGTGCACCGGCGAGAAAGAGGCGAGGGGCCCGAGTCCGCCCCAGGTTGCACCCAAGCACTCCACCGCCACGCCCAGGACCGCTCCAGCCCAGGCGCTCCAGCCATGCACCCCCGACATCTCCCGATATTTTTTTTTTTTATATATATATATATATATGTATATTCCGCGGTCCCAAGGATGTCCGGACCCCTTACCGAGGGGGCAGCCTTTCGTTCCGCGGAGTTCTGGTCAGAAGGTCCCCCTGGAAGGGTTAACGGAGTGGCGGTATTGGCCCCAGTTCGGCTTCCAATTCGGCTTCCGGGGCCTTCAGTTGGTTTCCCCAATTGCGGCTTCCAGGGCCCGTTGTCGGGTTCCAGGGTGTCTCAAACGAATCCAGAAGGAAGAATTGCCGAGGGCCGCGCGTTGAAGGCAGTCAAATCGTCGGATGCCTGGACTCTGGACCTACAGGGGTGCCGTGCACGCAGGCCCCACCCCCCACTTTTTTTCCGCCAGCCACGCGCTGGGCAGGAAAGAAGAAGCAGCAGGCATACAGCGGGGAAAGCCCCCGCCCCCCCCCCCGACCCGCACACTTGTGAAGCCAGCGGCGCAGGGGGTCCTCACCGGCGCGAGCAGCGGGTGGAAGTGCGAATTTCCGACCGAGCAGTGTCGATAGCGCAGCGCACAGGCTCGCACACTGCAGTAGTTTTGCAAGCGATGGGTGGGTTAGAGGAACTGTAAGCCCAAAAGCGCATGGAGCGGCCAGGAAGCGAGGAGAGCACTCGAGCCAAGGTGAACTGAAGCGCGACAGCCAGAGGCAAATTGTGGCCACTGGTTCACCGGAGCGGTGTTAGACAGTGAAGCGCAAAGCCGACCCACATACGCAGTCAAAGAAACAGGCAGGCTGAGTGTGGGAGGGCGCTGCGCGAGCCGCTGCGGTTCCTGTCTCGTCGTGCCGTATCCGCTCGTGTGTCGCCTCCGTCCCCACGTTGCCGGAGCCCTCTTGCGTGCGTCGCACAGGCTGCCGCTGCGCATCGAAGATGCGGGGGCGGCGCATTTCAAGGAAGCCGCCCCCGTGCGGTCGCGCGCGGACAGCGCGCCCCACCCCCCCCCCGTGGGGCGGGGCAGGCATCTCGACGGGCCCGCGCTCCCGTAAGCTGCCACGCAGGCTGGGCAGCGACAGCGAGTGAGGCATCGGCAGCACGCAGCGCAGTGGTGGCAGGCGCGCGGCTGGCCCGACCAGCAGCGCAGCCACGGCCCTGGGAGCCGCGGCCATGACGCTGACGGCGGCGAGCACCGGCGGCAGCTCGGCCACCGACGTTCGCTCCAGAACCCCATGGGCGCCACCTCCGACCACGCAAAATCCTCGACGCCTTAGGCGCAGCTCACTGGGCGCAACTTATAGCCACGAAGAAGTCTTCGAACCAATGCACGTTTTCAATGTTCCATTGCGCACGATTCGAGCGGGGGACTAGTCTTCAGAAAGAGTAAGGAGTTGCAGAGGGCGAATGGAGGGAGAAGGGGATGGACGATGCTACCGCTTCTCCTTTCGTCGTCCTCCCCTTTCGTCTTCGACATCTCAACGTCCACCTGTACCTCCATCCTTCCCCGCTGATGCTGCTGCTGCTGCTGCTCCTCCTCCTCCTCCTCCTTTCTATCCGTCTCGGCCCCTATCTTCATCTTGGACACCTTGTGCTGAGCCAATCTGCGCGCTCGACGCCCTCTGCTCCATCCACTCTTGCGCTCACCAGCCCAGTCGCTTCTCGATCCCCTTCTCCGTCTGGCAACGCTCAGGGGTTGCCTGGAGGTGACCCCCGCTGGCCTCAACATGAGGCCCCAAGGGTGCTCCGGGGCGATCCAGACAACCCGGTGCCGCCTCCGGCGGGGCCGCAGGGCCGTTCCGCGCTCGGGGGCTGGGGTGTTGAGACCGCCCCCGAGTACAGTGGGGGGGGGGATTAGACCGGGTCGGTGTCACGAGGGCGCCCTTCCGATCCCGCGCCCAGCACCGCACGATGCTCATGGTGTCCGTGGACGATCCGCCTCCTGGACCTCACATCTACCGCGCTCGGGCGGCACTCACTGTAGGCTCGACGCGGGGATGGAGGAGGAGGAAGAGGAGGAGGAGGAGGAGGAGGAGAAGTAGGATAAGGAGAGGGAGGAGGCAAAAGAGAGAAGGAGGAGGCGCAAGAGGATGATGATGATGATGATGATGATGATGATGATGATGATGCTGATGATGATGCTGCTGATGCTGATGCTGATGCTGATGCTGATGATGATGATGATGCTGATGATGCTGCTGATGATGATGATGATGCTGCTGCTGCTGCTGCTGCTGATGATGATGATGATGATGATGATGATGATGATGCCGAGGAGGAGGAGGAGGAGGAGGAGGAGGAGGAGGAGAAGAAGGAGGAGGAGGTAGAGGAGTAAGAAGAAGAAGAGGAGGAGGAGAAGGAGGAGGAGCAGGAGGCTGATGCAACGGCGGAGGCGGATGAGAAGGGTTGGAGGGGAAGGAGGAGTTACTGCAGGATCTGGAAGAGAATGCGTTGGAGCACAGCGATGAACAGCATGCTGATGAAGGCTATGATGAGTGGGAGATGGATGATGAGGATGATGGCATACGATGCTGATCATGTGCAGGAGCATGATCATGAGGACGAGTAGCATCGGGGGGTGGAGTAGACACCACGTGGTGTTGGTGATGGTGAGTGTGGTTATGACGATCATCCGCCCGCCCGAGGGATTGCGGTCCAGTTTGGCCGCCTCCCCGCAATCCCGCGCATCCGCCTCGCCGGTGCGGCACGGGCTGGCCTGCGCCCGGCCCGCGCCCCTCGGGGCCACCGACTCCGACGGCCGTCGGGAGGGCGGAGAGTGGCAGGGGTGGAGGGTGGGGGGGAAGGGTGGCAGGGCTCATGTTCTGAGCGATGGCAGCTGCACTTACAGTGAGCGGCTTGAGTAAGGAACACCTACTTTTCAAGAGGGCTCGGTCGTTCCTTGAGGCCTGAATGCGTGATTTGCAGTTCCTTAATGCGTTATTTGTTATTTCTCATTCCTTATGCGTTCTTCGTTGGGATTACAAAAGGGGCTTCGTTCCTTATTTATCGTTCCTTAGGTCAGGCCGATGACTGTACGGCATCGCGCGTAGTCCCGTTCGTCATCGCCGGGTGCCGGGCCTCTCCCTGGCCGCTTCTCGTGCTCGTGGCGCTCGGCGTGGTCTTGACCGATTTCCTCACTGTCTCGGGGCCTCTGGCCGCTGATTTGCATCCACTATCCCCCCCCAGGATCGGGCAGTGCCGCAGAGCGAGAGCCCGTGGTGCGTCGAGGGCCGAGGCAGGCCCGTGGGGGTCCTGATTTTGTGCACGCTCCCCCCCCCCCCCCGGAGGGCCCCCCCCCACCACCAAAGGCCGATGACGGCGGCAAGCCTCCGCATGGCTTCTCTGTGCCTCGAGCCCTCGAGCCCTCGAGCCCTCGAGCCCTCGAGCCTCGAGCCTCGACCCTCGATCCTCGACCCCCGATGCTCGATTCTCGATCCTCTGGGCCACTGTTAAGTCGGGCCTGCCCCTCTACAGGAGGGATATATTCAAGATTCAAAAATAATGCAAAAACAGTCCGGGGATGATTTTTTGAGCATTGTGAGGCCATTTGGGGGTGTTTTTTACTATCTCTTATTGTTCGTCCAAGATCCACCTGTAGGGGGAGACAGGCCCGACTTGAGGCCACTGGGCTCCCGCAGGTACGGTTGGGAACTTTGTCTTGGCGTGTCGCGCCGCCGGTTCTGGCCCGCCACTCTTCGGTCGGGAGCTTCGAGACGGGGGTCAATGCAAACGGGGGTCAGCCAGGGCGCCAGATCCCGCAGGATCCTGCGAAGACCCCCTCTTGCTGACCCCGGCTTCGCGAGCCGCTCGTGGCCGCGAGGCGGCCGCACCTATTGGCTGACCCAGGTTTGCGAAGATCTGCGTGGCAGTATTTTTGTCTTGCATTGCAGTTTTTGGTTTCCTGCTGGCCCGGGTCTGGATTGACCCGGGTCAGAAGATTGGAGTACGGGATCGTCTACAGAATTGGTTACCCCAAAATTGATTTTTTCGGCGAGTCATACGTAGGATGTTTTCAGATCTACGAACGTCCTACGCGTTTCTCATGGGTTCGACGAGAAAATCAATGTGGGGGTAAACCAATTCTGTAGTCGATCCCCTACTCGAAAGATCCCCGATTCGGCGCGACACGCTATCCACGGCCGGGTCCCCAGGCGTCCGCGTCCCGGGCCTCCCACGGCATCCTCCCGCCCCCCGCGGAGCACCGCGGCACGCCCGCCGCTCGCGGGGCACACGGCGTGGCGCCGGGGCCGCCGCCGCGACACGCTGAGCAGAAGTTCCGGACCTCGGCCCTCAGGCCCTCGTGCGGGCTCGATCCCCGACGCGCGATCCTGTTTGTGTGTTTGGTGCCGGGCGACGCGCAGCCAGGGCACTGAACCCAGGAGGGGAAGAAACACACAGAGACACGATGAATCGTCGATCCCCAGGAAGATATAGGAAAATATGGGAAGTGGGGGGGGGAAGACAAGAAGCAGGAAAGTATAGGAAAATGTGGGGAATCCTTTGATTTGTGTGTATGTATTTGTGTGCCCCAGGGCCCCTTTCAGGCTCCCTCGGCCTCTCTCCCGGGCGGCGGCTTTTCTCTTTGCAGCTGCTTTTCTGCTGACGGGCCTCGCGGTGCCGGCGCCGCACAGCGCCGGCAGGGCCAGCGTCTCGCGCGCGTCGCGCTTCGCATGTCGTGACTTGTCAGAGTCCCGAATCATCAGGGGTAACTCGGGTCAGGGATTACTCGGGTTCGTTTTTTCGGGAATCCGAACCCGAGTTACCCCGGACCCGAGTTACCCCGGATAACTCGGGCGTCCAGAGCCCCGAATCATCAGGGATAACTCGGGTCAGGGCTAACTCGGGTTCCTTTTTCGGGAATCCAAACCCGAGTTGCCCCGGACCCGAGTTACCCCGGATAACTCGGGCGCCCAAGGAGGAGCAGGAGCAGCAGAAACAAGTGTGCCACCACCAGCAAGCATTGCCAACCAGGACTTCGCCAGAGGCAGAGGGAGGAGACCAAAATCATGGAGTGTTTTCACCCCGCGGCTGGATTTTCGTCTGGTGTGCCAGGGGCATTGGTTTATCAATGACCCAGATTGCAGGCTTCTGGCTCGAAGGCCTTCCTCCCTCTTCATCTCCTCCTCCTCCTCCTCCTCCTCCTCCTCCTCCTCCTCCTCCTCTTCCTTCTCCGCCCTTACTCCTCCTCCTCCTCCTCCTCCTCCTCCTCCTCCTCCTCCTCCTCCTCCGCCCTCACCCTCTTGCTCGTCCGGTCTTTCCTTCCTTTTCCTCCTCTCCCCCCTCCCTCCTCCTGCCCCCCCCGGCTCCCTGTCCTCAGCCCGCGGAGGCTCCTCCGAGACCGGGGTGGCCAACGTCATCGAGGGCGATCGCCAGCTGGCGCTCCTTCGGCTGCCTGGCGCGGCGGTTGCGGGCCCTCGGGCTTCTTCTCTCTCGGGCTCTCCCCATGCCTGCGGGCAGCCGTTCGAGGCCCCCCCCCCCTCCAGGATTGACCTCCGCAGGAAGAGGAGAGTTCGGACACGCTGGGAGGCATAACTATGGTGGCCGCCTTGCCTTCCGAGGGGGAGGGGGGGGAGCTTGGAGGGCTTCCCAGGGCGAGAGGGGAGGACTTTTTGGGGGGGCGTTCAGAGGTGGGGAGCGGCCGCCGCAGCGGGAGAAGGAGGAGGGCCCCCCATTTCTCGCCTCTCGCCCCGTTCCTCGCCAGGGCGTGCACGCCCTCGCTGGTGCTGCCCTGCGCCCTGCCCCGTGCCGTGTGCTCCGTGCACTGCGCGATGCCCACTCTGCGTCGCGCTGCCCTGCGCCTCGCACCGAGTGGTAGAGTCGACCCGCAGAGGAAGGGTAGGCGTCCCTCCCGAGGCTACCCCTGCATCCGTGCTTCCTGGGCCCATCCGTGGACACTCTCGTGGGCCGCGCCCCGCCCGAGACGCTTCGAGGTGGGCGTCCAAGGGCCTTGCATCCTTCTCGCGCATCCTTACACTCTGCGGGACGACTGTACAGTGCCGTTTCTAATACATGCTCCGCGTGTGGATCATGTATTCAAAATGCAGGGATTTAGTATTCAAAACAGAGACGATTTCATGCATACATTGATTCACGAATTCATCATGTATTAAAAATCCTATATGTTTTAATATCCGATGTGTTAAAACCTGCCCTGTATGTCCGGGGTCCTCTCCCGGAGGCGCATTTCCCGCCGTGCGCCTCGCCCCGCGCCCCCGCGCCGCCCCGCGCGGCCTCCTCGCGAGAGAGCCCCCGTCGGGCTGCCTCTAGTCCCGTGCCCGGCCTCGGGGCGCCCTCTGTGCTCGGTCCTGCTTCATGCAGGAGGACGAGGAAGAGAAGGAGCAGGAGGAGGAAGAGGAGAAGGAGCTGATGAAGCAGGAAGAGGAGGAGAAGGAGGAGGAGGAAGAGAACGAGGAGCAGGAGTACGAGTAGTGTTCTGGTTCCTGCTCTGGTAGCAGACCGATTTTGAAGCATGTAGATACTTGCAAGTCGCCCGCCCCCCGCCTTCCCGCCCGTCCTCCTCCCTGCTCCGACCAGCGAGGTCCTGCCCTGGTCGTCCTGGCCTGTCCTGTGCTGCCCTGTCCTGTCCTGTCTTGCTTTTCGTCGGGCCTGTCCCTCCACGGGGGGAATATTCGAAAATAACAAAATAAATAGTCTGGGGACGATGTTCAGAGTATTTGTTTGACCATGTTGGGGTATTGTTGGGGGAATTTTATTTTTTTGCTCACTCGCTCTCTCTCTCTCTCTGTCTCTCTCTCCCCCCCTGTGTTTTGCTGTCGTTGTTGCTGCTGCTGTTGCTGCTGTTGCTGTTGCTGTTGCTGTTGTTGTTGTTGTTGGTGGTGGTGGTGGTATTGTTGTTGTTGCGGTTGTGGCTGTTGTGGTTGTTGTAGTTGTTGTTGCTGTGCTTGTGGTTGTTGGAATTGTTGTGGTTGTGGTTGTGTGTTTGGTTGTTGTTGCTGTTGTTGTTGGTGGTGGTGGTGGTGTTGCTGCCGTTGTTTGTGTTTTTGTTGTTGCGGTTGGTTTGATGTAGATGTTGTTGTTATTGTTGTTGTTGGTGCTGTTGTTGTCGTTAGTGTTGCTGACGGTGCTAATCATGTTGCTGTTGCTGGCGTTGCTGGCGTTGTTGGTGGTGGCGTTGGTCGTTGGTGTTGCTGTTTGTATTGTTGTTGTGGTTATTGTTGTTGTCGGTGTCGTTGTTCCTGTGTGCTTGTGGTTGTGAATGTTGTTATTGCTGTAGTTTTCGCAGGTGTTGTTGGTGGTGGTGGTGTGGTTGTTGTTGTTGTTGTTGTTGTTGTTGTTGTTGTGATTGCTGTTCTAAAGTCTGCTTTTGAACATTGTTTATTCTAAAGAATAATTATTGTTGGGACCCCTGGTGCGCGACCCCCTCGCCGCGCCTAGGCCGCAGCTACATTTTCATCATTTTCGTGAGGAAGCCCCAGGTAATACGATGTCATCAAGATCCGGTTGTTTTGTTCCCCCCCGCTGTCCCTTGCAAAAAAACACTATAAAATGAAATTTCTTGTTCTAAAATAACCAAACTTCAAGAATCCCTTGCAAAAAATAAGGTAAAGTGGACATTCGCGCGCGCAAGACGAAATCCTTCCAAAACCTTAGTGTTCGCAGCGATTTTAACATAAAAACATCAAAAAACCAATGGTTTTTCAACAAAAAACTGTCAAAATCTCATCCCGCGCGCTCTTGCGGATTCGTAGGAAACCCAACACTTTTTAAACATTTCTGTCAAACGGGCTTTTGCGAGCAACTTTTTCGAACTTCTGCGACAACGGTTGCGCACCTGCCAGGGCCATCATCCCTGTCAAATAATACCATGCGGGACACATTCGTTTTTTCTTCGCGCGCGCACGCCGTCGTCGTCGGCCGCGGGGCCCTGAATAGTAGCCACGGTCGTCCGCATGCCACGAAGTGAAGTGTCCGAACGTCATAGGGCGGGAAGCTGGGTGTGGGTGGTGGCGAAGAGTCGTTTGGAAATTTGGTAGAGCTTGAACCGGCCCCCCCACAAAGTGGGGGTATTGCCCGCCTCCTATGAAAACCCTGGCACTGGTGAGAACGGAGTGTCCCCACGTGCTAGTAATTGTTGTTGTTGTTGTTGAACATTATTAATTCTAAAGAATAATTATTGTTGGGACCCCTGGTGCACGGCCCCCCCGCGCCGCCTAGGCCGCAGCTACATTTTCATCATTTTCGTGAGGAAGCCTCAGGTAACGATGTCCAGATCCGGTTGTTTTGTTGTAATCCGTTTTCCCTTGCAAAAAACACTATAAAATGACATTTCTTGTTCTAATATAATCAAATTTCAAGAATCCCTTGCAAAAAATAAGGTAAAGTGGACATTCGCGCGCGCAAGACGAAATCCTTCCAAAAGCTTAGTGTTCGGAGCGATTTTAACATAAAAACATCAAAAAACCAATGGTTTTTCAACAAAAAAATGTCAAAATCTCATCCCGCGCGCTCTTGCGGATTCGTAGGAAACCCAACACTTTTTAAACATTTCTGTCAAACGGGCTTTTGCGAGCAACTTTTTCGAACTTCTGCGACAACGGTTGCGCACCTGCCAGGGCCATCATCCCTGTCAAATAATACCATGCGGGACACATTCGTTTTTTCTTCGCGCGCGCACGCCGAAATCTCCAAAAACCATTGGGCTTCTTAAGAATTCTAGCACCGCGCATCATAAAATCACACGAATCGCACCGTAGGTCCTCGAAAAACACCTGCACCATCGGGACAACCATCGAGACGAGACAACCATCGGGACAACCATATCCTCTCTCTCTTTTGTGTATTCCCACATCCCTCAGGAATTTGCCCTAAAGATGTGATCAACTATCTTGTGAGTACGTATCATGTGTATCATGTGTATCATGTACCATATGCATCATATGCAACAGATGTTCTGTGGAAGGCTTAACAACTTCTGTGGGTTAACAAGGCTTAACAACTTCTGTGGGTGTACGAACGTAGGCTTAACAACTTCTGTGGGTGTGTACTCCACGCCAGTGTAGTAGCCACGGTCGTCCGCAGGCCACGAAGTGAAGTGTCCGAACGTCATAGGGCGGGAAGCTGGGTGTGGGTGGTGGCGAAGAGTCGTGTGGATATTTGGTAGAGCTTGCACTGCCCCCCCACAAAGTGGGGGTATTGGCTGGCGTCGCATGAAAACCCTGGCACTGGTGAGAACACTGAGCGTTCGGGTAAAGTGATTGTTGTTGTTGTTGTTGTTGTTGTTGCGGTGCTTCCTGTTATTCCCAACCCTCCTGCGTTGGGTTCTCGTTTTGAATAGAGCACTGCTCGCGCGAACCTTCCTTCTTCCTTCCCGTCCCTCTCTTCCCCCCTGCCTTTGACCTCGCCATCCCTGGGGGGCTGCGATCTGCGAAACTGTCGCAACTTTCGAGGGCTGCTGGGGAGGCCAGCAGAGAGGGCACTCACCGAGGATCCAAACGGGACCTCGCCGTCCCCGGTGGGCTGCGATCTGCGAAATTGTCGCCGCTTTCGAGGGCTGCTGGGGGGGCCAGCAGAGAGGGCACTCACCGCGGATCCAAACGGGACCTCGCCGTCCCTGGGGGGCTGCGACTTGCGAAACTGTCGCCACTTTCGAGGGCTGCTGGGGAGGCCAGCAGAGAGGGTACTCACCGCGGATCCAAACGGGACCTCGCCGTCCCTGGGGGGGCTGCGACCTGCGAAACTGTCGCCTCTTTCGAGGGCTGCTGGGGAGGCCAGCAGAGAGGGTATTCACCGCGGATCCAAACGTGACCTCGCCGTCCCTGGGGGGCCGCGATCTGCGAATCTGTCGCCACTTTCGAGGGCTGCTGGGGAGGCCAGCAGAGAGGGTATTCACCGCGGATCCAAACGGGACCTCGCCGTCCGAGGGCACTCACCGCGGATCCAAACGGGACCTCGCCGTCCCTGGGGGGCTGCGATCTGCGAAACGGTCGCCACTTTCGACGGCTGCTGGGGAGGCCAGCAGAGAGGGCACTCACCGCGGATCCAAACGGGACCTCGCCGTCCCTGGGGGGCTGCGACTGCGAAACTGTCGCCACTTTCGAGGGCTGCTGGGGAGGCCAGCAGAGAGGGTACTCACCGCGGATCCAAACAGGACCTCGCCATCCCTGGGGGGCTGCGACCTGTGAAACTGTCGCCACTTTCGAGGGCTGCTGGGGAGGCCAGCAGAGAGGGTACTCACCGCGGATCCAAACGGGACCTCGCCATCCCTGGGGGGCTGCGATCTGTGAAACTGTCGCCACTTTCGAGGGCTGCTGAGGGGCCCAGCACAGTGGGTACCCACCGCAGACTCAAATTAGACCTCGCCATCCCTGGGGGGCTGCGATCTGTGAAACTGTCGCCACTTTCGAGGGCTGCTGAGGGGCACAGCACAGTGGGTACTCACCGCAGACTCAAATTAGACCTCGCCATCCTGGGGGCTGCGATCTGTGAAACGGTCGCCACTTTCGAGGGCTGCTGAGGGGGGCCGCAGACCTCGCCAGGGGGCCAACTGAGGGGCACAGCACAGTGGTCACCGCTCAAATAGACCTCGCCATCCCTGGGGGGCTGCGATCTGTGAAACTGTCGCCACTTTCGAGGGCTGCTGAGGGGCACAGCACAGTGGGCACTCACCGCAGACTCAAATTAGACCTTGCCATCCCTGGGGGGCTGCGATCTGTGGAACTGTCGCCACTTTCGAGGGCTGCTGAGGGGCACAGCACAGTGGATACTCACCGCAGACTCAAATTAGACCTCGCCATCCTTGGGGGGCTGCGATATGTGAAACTGTCGCCACTTTCGAGGGCTGCTGAGGGGCACAGCACAGTGGGTACTCACCGCAGACTCAAATTAGACCTCGCCATCCCTGGGGGGCTGCGATCTGTGAAACGGTCGCCACTTTCGAGGGCTGCTGAGGGGCACAGCACAGTGGGCTTCCCGCACGTCTTTCTCCTGCTCTTCATTCCCGACTCCCCATGTCCTCTTCGAGCCTGTAGTTGTCGCCCCTCGTTCTTGTATGGTTCTCCTGCGCATCATCTCACAGGCGCGTGTCCCAAGTAGCTTACATATCAAACAACGGATCATGCAATTTGATTTTCCATGCAAGTTTCGGCCAACTCCTCGTTTACCATGATACAAATGGGTTGGTACTTCACAGGGTAATTTTTATTGGTTCGATGATGTTGTCCCTGCTGCTGTTGGGTTGATTGCTCAGTCCCTATATCCCTCTATTTCGTTCTCATGTCTTTCCACAACGTGTACAGATGTATACAGATCGGCCATCGGACATCTGGACTTTCCCCTCTCTCCCTTCCTGATGCACATGTACAGGTCAATGCATGTTTCACACGTATGTGAGTCATTCCCGCTATGTTTTTCCTATGTTTTTTCCTTTTTTTTGTTTTTTCTCTCTCTCTCTCTCTCTCTCTCCCTCCCTCCCTCCCTCCCTCCCTCTCTGTCCCTCCCTCCCTCCTTCCCTCTCTGTCCCTCTCTCTCGCTTTCCTTGCATGCTCCTCGTCTTTCCCTCGCGGCTCAGGTCCTGCTCGAGTCTCCGGGCCCGTGACGATCGACGAGGCGCGCCGTCTGCTCCGTGCCAGCTCCCTTTTGGGCGCTCGCTGCCTCCGCTGCCGACGCTCTATACCGCACTCGTTTTTTTTTTGGGGGGGTATATATATATATATATATATATATATATTATATAATATATATATTATATACCATATATTATTTATCATATAATCCAGTCGGCATAGTCGCGCATTCGTGCTCCACCCTGTTCTCCTCGCCTGTCCCCAGGTGGCCGCGGGTCGTCGGGCCCTCGTCTCTTGCTGCACCCCGCGCGCGGCTCCCTCCTCTCGCTTGCCCCCTCCCCCTCCGCCCTCCTCCCTCCCTCTTCCTCCCCTTCCTCCTCCTCCTCCTCCTCCTCCCTCCTCCTCCCTCCTTCTTTATCATCTTCCTCCCTTCCCTCTTCCTCCGTCCTTCCTTCTCCTGCTCATCTTTCCCCTCCTCCTCTTCGCACCTCGCTCCTTCTTCCTCGCCCCTCCTCCCTCCTCCTGTCTTGGCTGCACGCCTCGGCGGAGCTGCGCCAAACACTGAAGGCGATGCAGCGCAGGATGCTGCGCCGTCTGGGGGGACGCGCCCTGGAGCGGAACTCCGCGAGAGCCCGCTCGAGCCTCCAGCGCCTCCCTCGTTCCCCTCCGCCTCCCCCTCCCCGCCCTCGTCCCCGCCCGCCTTCCCCTCCTCCCCGGCACCTTCGTCTCCTCGTCGCCGCCTATCGTAGACACGAGGCATCCGCGATGTAGCGCCTAGCGCCGAGAGCAACAGGCGGCAGCCGACACGCCTCGTCGTCGTCGTCCTCCTCCTCCTCCTCCGACTCCTCCTCCTTTCTCCCCTCCTCCTCCTCCTCCTCCTCCTCCTCCTCCTCCTCTTTAATGTCTTCCTCTCGTGTTGCTCCTCGCTCTCCTCCTCCTCCTCCTCCTCGCTCTCCTCCTCGCTCTACTCCTCCTCCTCCTCCTGTCTCTCCTCCTCCTCCTCCTCCTCCTCCTTTATCTTCCTCTCGTGTTTCTCCTCGCTCTCCTCCTCCTCCTCCTCGCTCTCCTCCTCCTCTTCCTCCTTCTCCTCGCTCCCCTCCTCCTCCTCCTCCTCCTCCTCTCCTCCTCCTCCTCCTCGTCCGACTCCTCCTCCTTCCTCTCCTTCTTTCTCTCCTTCTCCTCCTCCTCCTCCTCTTCCTCCTCCTTGTTTTAATCTTCCTCTCGTCTTGCTCCTCCTCCTCCTCCTCCTCCTCCTCCTCCTCCTCCTCCTCCTGCTCGCTCTTCTCCTCCTCCACTGCCTCGTGCTCCTCCTGCTCTTCCCCCCTTCTTCCTCCCCCCCCTCGTCCGTCGCTGCCGCGTGCTGCGGCCCAGCCCGCCCCGGCGGCGCGCCGCCGCCCTGCTTCGGCTCGAGGCAGGGGGGGGGGGCCGGCGGCCCGTCTCGGACGCCCGTGCGGCATGGCGCCCGGCGAGGACCCCTCCGCCGATCGGCTGCACGTAGTTAGGAGTGACCTTGGAGCACATACGTTGCCAGTAAGGGGGTGGAGGAGGAAGAGGAGGCGGAGGCGGATGAGGAAGAGGAGGTGGAGGCGGAGGAGGCGGAGGAGGAGGAGGAGGAGGAGGAGGAGGAGGAGGAGGAGGAGGAGGCGGAGGAGGAGGAGGAGGAGGAGGAGGAGGAGGAAGAGGAGGAGGAGAGAGAGGTGGAGGAGGAGGCGGAGGAGGAGGAGGAGGAGGAGGAGGAGCAGGGAGGAGGGAGGAGGTAGGAGGGAGGAGGGCGAGCCATGGCAAGGCTTGCCCGGAAGGGTCCTGCTGTTCCTACTCGCGCTGCCCATAGTACCTGTGCCCTGGCTCGGTGTCCCAGGCCACCTCCGCGCCACCCCACGCCGACGGTTCCCCAGCGCGGCTTGCCTTGAGGGTTCTTGCTGCGTGCCTGCGTGCCTCCCCCATAGCAGGTCGGAAACTGGAACATATAGTTACATTACCAGTGGCGGGCTGTTTTTCAATGCTAGGACTTTTTGAGGGTCAGGGACGACGTCGGGTGCTGTGGTGTGTACCCTTTTGCCCGTTTTCCAGGGGATAACGAAACATGTATACACCAGGATCACGTATACACCAGGATCCGCTTTCCTGTGCGAGCTTCAGTGCGGGACTGGAAATCGCGTCGGTGTATAGAGTTCGGCTCCTTACTTTCGCCGGAGTGACTTTTGGTGCGGACACACTGGGGCCCCCAGATGGCCGAACGCGATGCGACAGCAGCGTCCTGCGCGCTCGGATTTGGCCTCAACGCGGCCCCCGAAGGCCGCACACCAGAGGCCACTCATGCCTAGGGCCTAGGGTCACTCTTGCGCGTAGCCGAGGGACCTTGCACCATGGTAGCCCAGCAGCTGGCCGCTGCCTATCGGGCCTTCTGCGCGAAGGTGAAGGAGGCCAACCTGCCGCTTAGCAGGAATCAGACCAAGGCGCTGGCCACCAGCAGGAAGCTTCGTGATGCCCTCATAGGCCAGCCTGGCTGGGACATCGAGGGGGGCGATTTCGTGGACGTGCACGGGGACCTTGGTGGCGACGCCGTGTCTGGGTCCTACCGACGTCTGACGTCCTCAGCGGCTTGTGAGAAGGCCGCTCGTTGCCAAGGGAGGAAACTCACCAGGCTGTTCAGGCCCTCGGTCAGCCGAGCGAGGGTCTTCAGAGCAGGGGTCACTGCTAAAGCCTCTAGAGGCTCGGCGATCATGGGAGTGCCCAGCGGCCGTCTGCGTCGGCTGCGGGTCGGAGCCATCAAGGCGAGAGGCCGACTTGCCCGTGGGGCCGCCCTGGGGCTGGCCAGCCTTGGCCAGTCAGGTGGCTGGAAGCGGGACCCCCTGACGATCGTCACCAGGACGGTTCTGATGGCCTACGCCGAGATGGTCTGGGCCTCCCTGCTCCCCGAGGCGGCTGCCCGCTCCTGCCTCGCCACCTGCCTGAGCATCGCTAAGAGGCTGCACCCTTGGCGTATGGTGAAGGAGCCGATCAGCGCCTTGGTGCTCACGCTCGAGCGGGTCGGCTGGGGGCTCATCAACGGCGACCCCTACAGGCTCCACGACAGGCTGGGCCACGAGTATCAACTGCGTCGCTACTCGCCAGCCTTCTTCGGCCACACGGTCTCCTTGGGCTGCCGACGAGCCATAGGGCTCGAGGAGGTGAAGCGGAACGGCTCCAGCATGTGGGGCTGGGAGGTCCCACCCTTCTGGCACTCGACTTGGCTAGCAATCGCTCCGAGGTGTGGGACCTGCACCACCAGAGAGCGCTGCGCTGCCTCATCCAGAACACCTACTGGTGCCAGGCCAGGGTCGGAGAGGAGGACCCCTTCCGTCCCCAAGAGCTGCCAGCTCTGCGGCCACCGCATCGGCTCCCTCTTCCACAGGTGGTTCAGGTGCGAGGGTCATGATGGCAGGGGTGAGTTCCTGGAGTCGCCTTTGCGGGAGGCGGCTGAACGAGTCGAGCTGTTGGGCTACCTTTTCACAGGGCTTTTCGCCATGGGGGCTGTTCCCCGCCATCTCGGAGTTGGTCCAGAGACCGCTCCGAACCGACGACTACTTCAAGCACGCGACCAGCTGGCCGAGCTTCGGGCCCTTCGCCGACGGAGAGCATGCCTTCGCCGATGGCTCAGGGCTCGATCAGAACTACCCGAGCCTGAGGACTGCTGGCCGGTCCATCATCGTCTTCGACAAGAACCGCAGGCTGGTCACCGAGGCGTGGGGCTCGGTCCCGCTGTCGGAAGGGCATGAGCAGCTGGCCAGAGACGGAGAGGACTATGCAGTGAAGGTCCGCACCGGCACCATCGCTGGGGGCTCCTTCAAGCTCTACTGCGACTGCCTCGCGACGGTGCGATGTGCTGGCAATCCCGTGGCGGCGGCGGCGGGCTGCCAGCGAGCCCACGTCTGGGCTGGGCGAGCTGAGAGGCTCAAGGACGCTGAAGTCATCAAGGTGAAGGCCCACCTGGGGCCGCAAACCGTCAGGGAAGGTCTGATCACGCAGTCCGAGCTCGATGGCAAGGATTTGGTCGATGCTCGAGCTAAAGAAGGAGCTTCTGCAGTTCGGGCGGACATCAACCTCATCCACTGCGTCGAGGGGCTGCCAGTTCATTGTTCGCCTGGCGGCGAGGTTTGCTGCAGCGCAGGAGGTACACGTCTCAGGATCGGGCCTTCGTGATTCATTGGGGTCAAGGCCCCCCTGGAGATCATCGACCTGGGCGAGTGGCCCGCGGATCCTGCTGAGGCCGATGGGGAGGATACGGCCCCGTCGGACAGTGCGGACTCCGTGTGCACAGGGGAGAGTCCTCTGCCAGGTCTCGACAGCTCGCTGAGGCCGTGGCGCGTGTGCGGGCACTGTTTGCTCGCAGCGCCTTTCCTCCCTGAGGCAGGAGAGAATTCGATCCTTCTCTTCTGCACAACTTGTAAAAGGTTATGTTTCGGACAGGAAAGGACGTGGCCTCCAGGGCAGGTGTCCAGGTCGCCCGATCCCGAGTAGTAATAATAATAATAATAATATCGCCCAGGGCAAGCACTCCAAAGGGAGTGCGAGAAGGCTCGGTGATCTCAGGTCTCCCTCGGATGCCGAAGTCCAGTTTTGGTTTGAGCATTTTCCCCCTTGTGCGCTCAGACGTGACCCAGGTAGGAACCCCGTCGGAGGGCCCGAAGAGGCCTTCGAGTCTGGAGGCGCTCTCGCTTTTCGGGCTCCAGCTGGCCCGAGCCCAGCTCTTGGGGTCGAGAGCTCTTGAGGCCAGGACGAGGGCCCTGGCGGCCAGGCAGCGGTGCCGTGTGGCCTCTCAACCTGATGACTTCTTCGACCCCTGATCGCTGGCTCCTCCCAGCTGCGGCTGGGGGGCGCGAGGGTCAGGGTTTGGAGGGGTCCTTAGATTGGTTTGAATTTATTCTGCATGACCTTTCAGGTCGAGTCTGTACCTCCTCCTCCTCCTCCTGCTTCACCTCCTGCTCCTCCTCCTCCTCCTCCTCCTCCTCCTCCTCCTCGTCCCTCCTCTCCTCTCCTCCTCCTCCTCCTCCTCCTCCTCCTCCTCCTCCTCCTCTCCTCCTCCTCCTCCTCCTCCTCCTCCTCCTCCTCCTCCTCCTCCTCCTCCTCCTCCTCCCCACAGGCCCAAGAAACAAGTTTCGACTGTAGGCGCCCACGCCCAGACCGACGCCGCGCGCCTGGCCAGGGGCTGCGCCCGCGCCGGGCCGCAACGCACACACCCCAGGCCCGGGCGGGCGCACGGGCGCGCGGCGTCGAGGGCCAGGAGCTGGCACGAGCACGGGAACGCCTGGGCGCACAGGGAGGGCGCACGGGCGCGCGGGAGGGCACGGGCGCACGGGAGGGCGCAAGGGCGCTCGGGCGCGCGGCGAGGGCGCAAGGGCGCACGGGCGCACTGCGTCGGACGTCCGCGTGGATCGCCGCGTTGGAGCCCTCTCCTCCCCTGAGATCCTGGCGTCCTCCCCTGAGATTCTGCAGTTGTCCTGCTTTTCGGGCCTGGGGCCCTTGCAGATCGATCCGGCTCGAAAAATGACGCAGAAAGATGTGGTCTAGGGCTCGAGGGCTCTGCGCGTGATTTTCTTCTTGCCTGGCGCGCGGGTTTTGTTTGCCGGGGGCGGCGCTGCAGAGGTGCTGCAGGGGTATCCTAGATATCTCGTCCACAGGGGCGCGACGACGGCCGCGCTGCGCGCCTCGCGGCCTGGGGTGGAGATGCGTGCCCTTCACATTCTCCAGCGCCCCGGGGGGCGCCCCGGGGGGCGCTGCGGGGGCGCGGAGGTCCGTGCGCGTCGCGCAGCGCGGGGCGTGACGCCCGACGTGAAGGGACCTGGGCATGATCGGTGAATTTAGGACGGGGCGGAGGAGGAGGAGGAGGAGGAGGAGGAGGAGGAGGAGGAGGAGGAGGAGGAGGAGGAGAGGGGAGGGGAGGAGAGAGGAGGAAGGAGGAGGAGGAGGAGGAGGAGGAGGAGGAGGAGGAGGAGGAGGGAGGAGAGAGGAGGAGGAGGAGGAGGAGGAGGAGGAGGAGGCGGTGGAAGTGACCCGGGTATCGGTGAAGGTTGAAGGATCCGCGCGGGGCCAGAGCCCAAGGCCGACGCGGTCGCGGCGCGAAGCCCGCCGCGGCTGGCGCCGCCCCCCCGCGCAGGAGGGCGACCCCTTCGTGGGCCCGCCGCCGGAGGCCGATCGGCGCCAGGGCCGCCCGGGCGCCCGCTGGCCGGCCGCGAGCCTGGCCGCGGCCGCGGGCCTGGTGCTCGCGTGTGTGTGTGTGTGTGTGTGTGTGTGTGTGTGTGGTGTGTGTGTGTGTGTGTGGTGTGTGTGTGTGGCCTTGATGTGTGGCCCCTCCTTCTGCCCCCCTCTCGTTAATTCAAACTGTGCACGGCCCGCTTAGCTTTGACCAGAAGAGGTGCGCTCTCGACCCGCGGATCAAAGTGTGTGTTTATGGAAGTGGATTAATGGAGAGGAAGCAGGCTGCCAAGTACTTTCCAGATGTCAATTTGTTCTACATGTTTCTAACATGTAGAAAAAACATGGTTCAGACATATGTAGAACATTTTTCGACATATTCAACACATGTTCAGTTCAAGGATAGGACTGTTGGGGTGTCCATTGTCGTGGCATCCACAATGTGTGTGTGTGTGGCTCGAGCTCGTCAGCACGGAGAGTGTCACCTGCCAGTCCTCGGTGTCTAGGCCTCCCAGGTGGGGTCCGGGTAGATGGGGTCGGAGGATCGCGCCGAATCGCCGACGCATCGGCGATGCGGCTCGATGTGGAGTCCGATTTATTCCACGCCGACGTCGCCGATGTCGCCAGTGCAACGGAGATGCATCGGCGATGCGGCGCGATCCTCCGACCCCATCTACTCGGACCCTATCTAGGCGGCCTTACAGTGGTTCTTGGAAGCGACATGCCGTTCTTGGTCCGTCTTCGCTCCGTCGCTTCTTTCTTGGCTGCGGCGCCGTGTTTTTTCGTCGGTTCCGTTTTTGTTTGTTGTTCCCCACATCCAAAGTGGGGTTCTTGTTTTCTCTGGACACCCCGCGCAGGAACAGGAACCCACCATCATTATTATCATCACTTCTTCCTCACTCACTCACTCACTCATCACCCCTCACGCACTCACTCACTCACTCACTCACTCACTCACTCACTGACTCATCAGCACTCACATATGATGATGATGATGATGATGATGATGATGATGATGATGATGATGATGATGATGATGATGATGATGATGAGTGTGCGCGTGAGAGAGTGTGATGCTGCTGCTGCTGCTGCTGATGATGGTGGTGGTGGTGGTGGTGATGATGATGATGATGATGATGATGATGATGATGATGATGATGATGCTGATGATGATGATGATGATGATGATGATGATGATGATGATGATGATGATGATGATGATGATGATGATGATCATCATCATCATCATCATCATCATCATCATCATCATCATCATCACCACCAGTCAGTCAGTCACTCACTCACTTACTCACTCACTCGCCTTGGGCCTCGTCTGTGAGTGAATTATGAGGAACTCTCAGGCGGGAGCCCCCTCCCTATGGGGCCAGCGGATTATGTTACTAATCCGAGCGGGTCATCCAATTCCTGTAACTGTCGCCACTTTTGGGCTCTCGCGCTGCCAGAACGCCGTTCCCAGGCCACATTTTGAATGCCCGGAGCCAGCTGTAGGCCGCTTCGTGTTCTTCGTGTTCCCAGAACACCACTCCCGGCCACATTCTGAATGTCTGGAGCCAACTGTAGGCCACTTTGTGTTCGTCGTGTTCCCAGAGCGCTACTCCCGGCACGTATCCCCGCGCCAGGGCGAGAAGAAATATACGCAGAAGAGGCAGCCAGGACGCCTCACCAACCACGAGGACGACGGTGAGGGCTTTTTCCAGATTCGCCCAGAGGATTCTCATGTGGGGTCCTTCCGTCGGAGGAATTTGTTTTTGTTGTTTCGATTCCGGTCCTGGTGTCAATCCCAGTGCAGTTGTTTGTTCCTTGTCGTCGAGCCGTTTTCCGCAAGCAGTGTTTACACTCAGGGGCTCTTGTTTGTTCGTCGTCAGGACTTGGGGCCTGTGTGGGTCCGGCGGCTATGTTCTCGCCGTCGCCGCCCCGTCGCCGCCTCGTCGCCGTCCGTCGTCTGGGTTTGGGTGCTTGTTTGGCAGCTATGTTCTCGCCATCGCCTGCCCGTCGCCGTCGCCGCCCCGTCGCCGCGTCGTCACCGCCAGCCGCCTCGTGGCCGCATTGGGTGGCATTGTCTTGCATCGCTGGTCCGCGCTTTGCACCAAGCTGCGTGGCTCTGCACTGCTCTGCGCCACGTTGTGTTGCATCCCATTGGCGTGCACTGCTTTCTTTGCGCTGCTTTGAATTCAGTTGCATTGCTTTGTGCTGCTTTGCATTGAACTGCGTACCTTCCATCACATGGACACTCCTGTTCTAAAAAGGAATTGGAATCCAGCCCCCCCCCGAGGCCGGGATCATCACCCCTGGGAAATGACAGATTACATCTGAATTTGCCCTGTCGTTCCGTCTTAGTCTGAGTCCATATCATATCATCCCAGCCAGGCCAGGTTCGCCCCCCCCTACCATCCTTTGCAACAGATGCTATGCACGCGCACCCGTTTATACACACTCATGAATGTTTAAGAAGCCCTTGCAACAAATGGGACGAAGTGCGCACGCGGGCGCACGTCGTCGCGGGCGCATGCCGGAATCCATAGAACAGCCGTCGGTTTCGTGACGATTTCAACGTCGAGTGTCCCGAAGCATACAACATATGGTTTTGCATCAGCAGTTTTCAAAACGAAGGTCTGCACGCTAGCTCTTGCGAAGTCTTAAGCAAGCCATTGGTTTCTCAACGTTGGCCCGCATGTCGAAATCATTCGAACGCCCTCCCGCGCGTGTTGGGGGTGCACGATTACGGTCGAATAACACACTGCGGGACAATCGCGCGCGTCGGCCGCGCGCGCATGTCGAAGTCCCACCGACGCCTTCACCGACATGTGGACACCATCATCGTCATCGGCGTGATCAGCATCTGTGCCGTCATTTGTCTTGCTGTCGTCATCGTCATCGTCGTCACTAGCATCGCTGCAGTGAATCACTGTGTCTGCCGTCGTCTACGTCGCCATGATACCGCGCCGGCCCGAGTCACCGACTATCACTGAAGTGCCGCGCGCGTCAGCGCGGCCTGTAGGATGCGCGGTGGACTCCCCATCGGTCAGCGCTACCGCGGTTGCGTCGGTCGCGTCAGACTGGTTGGCCGCTCTGCGCGCGAGCCTGCGCGCGCTAGCGCGGCCGCAGAGATGCACCAGCCAGCTCCTAGCAGGCATCACATATCGCTGCCGCATGGGTTTTATACAGCAAGTTGCGGGTGGGTCGGCGGGGTGATTGCGCGAGCAGTGGAGTTGACATTTCACTAGTGAGCATTGGTTACTTGCACCACATAAGTTGCTCAACATATATTGCATAGCACTGCTGACACCACATGTGTCGCCCCACGTAGACTGCACAACATATATTGCACTGCACAGGTTGCCAGAATTATTCTGATCTTGGGCACACGTTGGTTAAGATGTCGTGTGCAATATTCATGTTCAAGATGGTTTTCTTTGGAAGCGGTAAAACACGTGCCGCTTCCAAGAACCACTGAGTGCCAGCCGCCGCCCCCAGGATTTTCGGGCCGCGCCGTGATCACAGCTGTCGGCGCTTGAATTTGTACGGGCGCGGGCCTGTTGGCAGCGCTGGCTTCCGTCCGACTTTGATGCGCGACTGGTTGGGTGAAGGGCGCGGTCGCCAACAGCATACTTCAGCAAGGGGGGGGGGGAGGGGGGCGCGAAGGGCCAGGTCCCCGACCACACGGTGTGCTCCAGTCCAGGCGCCTGCTCTCGATGTCGGCCCCTCCACGGGGGCTCGCTTCTGGGCCCAGGCGCCACCGCCAACGGATCGAGGACGGAGGAGCTGCTCCCGGGACCGGGAAGGGGGTCGGGACCTCTCGGGCCGCGCGTCGAGAGATCGCACCGTTGGATGTCTCTGGAGGGGGGGGGGGTACGGCCCAGGGTGAGGTCGTGGGGGCGAGCCCAGGGAGAGGCCGATACGCCCCCCTCGCCCAGGGGCCGTCGGGAGCGGTCTTCCTCCGAGCTCCCCACCCGCGGCTCTTCTCCACCTCCGCGCGTCCCCCCCGAGATGCAACGAGGGGGGAGACGTGGAGAGAGGATGCGGGTGAGGGTGAGTAGGATGAGGTGTGAGGGCGGGTCGGGGATGAGGTCAGGGTGAGGATGAGGGTGAGGACCAGGGGTGAGGCGGAGGTGCGGGGAGAGAGAAAAAAAGGGAGAGAGAGAGAGAGAGAGAGACTGCAGCATCAAGCCATGACACCTGAGCGGCTCGCTGAGCAGGGGTGCGAAGCGGAAAAGGAGAGCTGAGGGTGAGTCGAGGAAGCGCGAAGCGCAGGCATGGAGGAAGGCGCGTGGATCGGCGCCGGGGGCCCCGCTTGCGTGCGGAACCGGCGCGCGCCGTCGCCGAATCAGGCAGCATGGCCTTCATGGCTCGGGGGGGGGCCTGCCCTGATCCGCGGATCTGGCGTTCGCGCACCAGATCCACGGATCCGTAATCCAGGTTTGCGTGCGACCGGGGGAGGGGTGGGGTGGGGGGTTGGGGAGGACCTTTTTCGAATATGCGTACTATACATGTGCATGCACATGTGCACATCGGAGGTGAGGGGGCGAGCTCGAAGTGGAACGGAAAGGCCCCCCTACCGGGAAGTCGGTTTCGGTTTCGTGTTCGTGCGTGCCGTGCGTGCGGGCGAGGCGAAGCTGCGTGGGCTGGCGAGAAGAAATCTCCTCCGGCTGAGGCGCGGCCAGACCAAATGTTTCCTCTCCGGGGGCCGGTGGCCCGCGGTGTCCCGCCGGTGTCCCGCCTCTGGCTGAGGCGCGGCCGGACCAAATGTTTCCTTTCCGGGGGCCGGTGTCCCGCTGGTGTCCCGCCAGTGTCCCGCTGGTG